TTTTTTTTTATATCATCCTCAGTAACTAATATGTCATTCGCATAAAAAAAGACAAAAAAAAACAACCTTTTTCAGTTTTTTGATGTTTTAGTAGTGGTCGGCATTGCATCTATGAAATTTGATCATATGCATGAATTTATCAAATTTCTATTACAATTGATTAGTACTTGTCTAAAGTCATAAAGGCTTTTATTTTATTTACCTAACAAAGTTTTTTTCCCTGGTTTAAGAAAACTTTCTTGTTACATAATTTAGATAAAGTCTTCATTGAAATTACTTAGGAGATTGTTTTGACATTCATTTCTTTAAGGTATAGATCTTTTGTTATTACAATGCTCAATGGTAGACAAATAATCATTAGTTTAACTACAAGATAGAATGTCTCTATAAAGTTGATCCGGCTTATGCACAGTCAACACAAGTGCACATATCATTCAAATGATAAAGTGAAATGAGCCCAAGATTGATGTAAACAAATGTTGAAAATACTAAACACTAGTTTTACAAAACTGAGCTCTATACAATTATTAATTCTTTTTAGATTCAGAGAAAATTATTGAAAACTAGTAGTTCAAATAAAAATAAACCATTGGATTTGTAAATTATAAATCAATTTTCTTAATTATGAGTTTCAAAACTATGATAGTGTCAATTAGAAGCAATAATGGCTTCTAATATCCATCGAAATTAAAAACACTAATTCTAAAATTCAGAGTACTATATCTATGCACTAAGGAAGTCTAGAATTGAATGAATCATTTTACTACATGATTGCTAAGGTTAAGTTGATATAATTTAATTCTTTCAAATCCAAGATACTAATTTTCATTTGTAAAATTAAACTCTTTCGACATCTCAAACTTACAAAATGTTTTAAACAAATGTATGACCACTACAATTTGCTAAATTATATTGGAAAAGAATTAAATGAGTAAGTTCCATTAAACACATCAAAACTCATAATCATGGGAAATTAAATGACAATTTACAAATCAAAAAATCAAAATACTTAGCTTAACATGTCTGTAAACTTGACACCATGAAATATTTTCATTTAAGTAAACAAGTTTAAGAGTTTCTAAATATAAATAAAAGAAAAGCAAAAATAAACAATAGAATTTGGATTACTTGAATGCAATTCCCAAATTTCTCTGGTGAAGTCTTCTCGCAAACCTTTTGCCTTGCTTCCCGCCTTTTCCTTGCACTTTCGCTTTCTCTTCTTGGTTAAATAACCCCAAACTCCCTCTCACACACAATACACTCACTCTCACACACACAAAAACTCCAACACTCTCAATACACTCTCTTTTGTTTAAGCCCTATCAGCCTCTTTAACTACCCTTCCCGCACCTCAATTTTTGCTTTGAAATTGAATAACTATTCTAGTTGAGTCCTTGCGCCACAGCGCTCAGGGTGTAGCGATGCGGCAATCAGATGTGCTCTGATCTCTAAATTTTGTTTCATTGATCCTTTTTAATTGCACCATGTTTCTTTGGAAATTGGAGTTGTGGCATTGTGGTCTGGTCATACAACACCTTACTCTTGGGAAATCTATTGGAAAAATTCCCAATATAGCGTTTAGGCGCTAGTGGTAGGTCTTTATGAAATTCAATTCTTCCTGCATGATCTCCTAAGTGTTTTCTGCATAAAAATACACAAAATAATATAAAATTTGTAGAACAACATGAAAGAAGAATTTTTTGACAAACATTTTTTTTATATTTGTCTCACTCAACAAAAGTCTATATCTTCTTTTTGCTAAAACCTCTTGATAATAAATCTTGTCTTTTGTCTTTTATCTTTTATTTTCTTTATTTTATATATTCATTTATTTTGCTATGGCTTCTTATCTTTGAACAACTTGGTTAATGTCCAAATCTTGTTTTTATAAAGAGATTTTATCTTTTATTTCATGAAAGCTTTCACATAAAAAAGCTCTCATTTGATAGAATCCTTCACTTGCATGGCGTTGCTATGATGGTTGAGCTCTCTTATATCTGTAAACAACATATAATGAAGAGAAGAAGGGCAATTGTCAGTCTATTTGTAATTTCTTCGTAACTTTCTGACTTGTGTCACAGGTGTATCAGGCACAAGTTGCTTTGAATTTTCATTAATGCTTCTTATCTTTGCTTTTGAACAAACACCTATTCCAATATGCTATGAAATAGAGGTGTCTCTTATAGCAGTTCATGCTCTAACTTCATATAAAAAAAAATTATTAATAATAATATTTTTTTACGTATACTTTTTAAAATATGTATCCAAACTCATCTCCATCATATCGAATGAAGTAGCACTTCTTCGATTTTAAGTCAAGCTTATGTTCTATGATCCAACCAACGTAAGAATAATAGACAACTAAAAATTATCAAATATAATACGCATACCTTATTTACTATTCAAGCTTCTTCAAGAAGCCTAAACGTAAATGCAACTGACGGTTCTCAATTGCTCCTACATGATATTGTGTTGATTGCATCCTCCTAAAAATTTTTTGAAAGACCTACAAGCTATCTCATATTCCGCATGTTCATTAAGTGTTTTATTCATCACCTAAGCTACTCCATTTTATTGTGGAGTGCTTGAGACCTTTCTCTCCATACAAATGCCATAAGCAATATGACTTTTTTAATTCTATAGAGTTTTATGTGACGCCATTATCAAAATTATATGTACAAAATTTTATCAAAATTTAAAATTTCCACTAAATTCTTCCACTTCACAAAAGTAATAAACATATCAGATTACTTTTTAAAAAATCAAACTAGTACTTATTTGGTACAATCAGTAATGAAAGTGACATAGTGCAAGGATCCTCTAAAGCAAATATATTAATTATCATTAACACATTATATTCACCTACGTTCATAAATCATAATCACATAAAAATCAGATAATCTTAGGTTTCAAAAAAGATATATTAAGAGAGATTAGACGTCATATGAATAAAGACAAATAATACTTTTCAGTATTAATTGGCTAAGTGGCAACACAAAAACCAATTGTGAAAATGAGGGCCGGATGTAAGGAATAAACGTTGATGTTACTTTTTTTTCATCTCTTATCTATTGCAAGAGCTTTTATTCAATCTTCTCATTCTCTTTCCTTATCTTATTATTTTTCTCCTTGATTAGTTGTAATTATTTGATGCTTAACTCGTCGCAACCATCTCTTTATGTAATACTTAAGCTATGATAGGTATCAAACATGAATCTAATAAAGTTTGAGTTCGGTTTGAAATAATAAGACTGGATTGAGTTAAGTAACTATTATCTTGAAAAATCAACTATGAATGAATTTTAAATTTATAGCCATTGCTATCGAAAAATCAAAACAAAACATTACAAATTTAATAAAATTAAACTCCTATTTTAACAAGTTGTGTCATCATATAATGTATGATTGACAAATAATAGGAAATTATACTAACAACTTTTCTATTTCCCATGCTAACATGGAAAATACAAATTTGCAAATAATGGTTTATGGGTTTCATTTAATAATCAGAAGCCCGCCATTGTAAGTGTAGCACCTTCTCTTGTGTGGTGACTCAAACGAGTAACCAACTAAAATATAGATCACCAAATAAATTAATAATAGCATGTAGTGTTCAATCGAAGTAGAGGATCTGCATCCATGGACAATCCAGTGAAATGACCTGTATGGCTGTATTAGGTGGAGTTAAATCAAAATGTTACAACTAGAAATAGAAGAGTTAAAATGTTAGGGGGTTTTAGAGAGAAGGGAAATCAGGGCATCGTCCATAATTTTAGAAACATTGGTCATTTATGATGAAATGATGCTCCAGAAATCCTTCTTCGAGTCGGTACTAACGATTCATCCTCGTTTCTCAGTATCATGATTTTAACTTTAGATGTAGAGTGGTACCTTTTGCTCCTCTCTGGCATAAGATCAAGCATCTTGCGCGCTTGAATTTGTCTGAATCCCGAAAATCTAATTTCAAGCTGAGCGGAGGAGAAACGGGATTTGAAAGTCTGTAAGAGCTCGATTGAAAGCACGCCTCGCCTCCGTAGTCCGTTCGGTCGTAGAGAGAGAGAACGTAGATAGCTCGTTTGGCAACGCTTCTCTCGGAAGATTTTGTAACTCTTCCATTTCTTTACTTCGCCTCCTCTCCTTCCATCTGCATTTCTTACCATTTTCGGCTAAATCAATCTTTCATTAGTTCTGTCGAAGGGATTCAATCTTTTTCTTACCCTCCTCTCCTTATTTTCTTTCTTATTATCTCGGCTTCTTATAATTATAGTATATAATTCCACTATTTTTGTATGCGTCGCGTATATTATAATGTCTACTGAGAGCATTCATAACCAAATAAAAAATATATGGGCTTAAAGCCGATCTCTAATCTCTAACTTATCTTCTTTCTCTTACGTGTTGCAAGATCTCTAAACTCTGGTCGTCGGGATCAGGGGTCGTCGGTTGCTGGAGCAGAGGGATCACCGGAGTAGTGGAGTCACCGGGAGAGGAGATGCTTAGGGCCCCGAGGTGAGGTGAGGCGAGGCGAGACTGAGAGATGGAGGATTAGAGCAAGACAGGGAGCGATGCGATTTTGGGCGGTATAAGTGTTTAATTATGACGGCTTATAAACAACTAACCGTCACTTATTAAAAAAACATATCGGTTAACATCCATCCGAATGACGGGTTCGTAGATAATCGATGGTCTAATACATCGGTAATAATTAAAAGTATCGAAAAAATATTACTTTTGATAAGTGACAGTATGCCCTGTAGTTAATATTTGTCAGTTTTGCCGTCAGTTTTTAGTGTTTTTTCCTATAGTGATATAATTCTCTTTGTATGTGTTACAGTATCTCTGTTAAGTGCATAGTATTTAAACAATACCTGATATTGGCATAACATAATTTCTATTATGGGTTCTAGTGTGTCTCTACCAACAGCACAAGTCGATCGTTCATAAAATGTAGTTGAAATAAAACCATCCACATTCTAATTTCTTCTTCATAAGCTCCAATTCCTTTCTCCTAAAAAAAGAATAATTATTTTCATTTGGATGAATTATAAATAAATCTATGAAAGAAAATAGTTTGCTGATGAAGCTCTATTTTTCTTCCCAATGAACAGTTAATCATCTAGAATTGGGAGAGCTAATAATGGTGATGTCAAGCAATAATATTGGCCCTAATGTTCTTCAAACTATTTAAAATGTGTTGTAATCAAGGTAAAAGTTATATCCTTGAAATAATAACAAAATTTAAATGAGTGAATATTGTCCATTTAAAGTTTAGGCAACAATTTAAAGGCTTGAAGATTTTAAAACATATCATTATTAAATCTATTGTGATAGTGATGCAGAAGATTTTAGAAGCTAACATTTTAGTTTTTAACTTTTTTTCATTACAATTTTTATATCATTTGTCTAACACAACATATAGAGTAATTCTTTTCATGATAGATGTTAAAAAATATTTCTTTTTAAATAATATTTAGCCCTAATAATTTAAGCCACACTTCATTATTTATTTTTGAAAAGTAGAGTGTTTGTTTTAAAGACATTTTCTGCTTGAACAAGAAATGAACAAATTCGATTTCAGAGCATTTAATTTAATATGTTTTCTTGTTTAACTCATAATTGATCAGTGATGATGAAACAGAGTACTTGGTGATGAGATGACATAATTGATGATAAATCTGAATGACATATGAGACAATGATTAGATCCATGACATACTCAATTGGGTCGGTGTTGTTATAGAGATAATGAGTGATGAAAGGACCACAAACCTAATAAATGGGGAGAAATGTATTTTGAAGTATTTAAAAATGCTAACTTTAATAAGCTTGAGTCGTGCTTGATGATTGGGAATGTCGACGGTAACACAAACAAGCGGGTTGGTGTCAGCATCAAATGCTTTTAGGGGATGCAAATGTTGACACGAGTAGGTCACAATGTAAATGGGGAGCAATGTATTTTGAAGTCTTTAAAGATGCTAACTTTAATAAGCTTCGAGTCATGCTTGATGATTGGGGATGTCGACGATAACACAAACAAGCGGGTTGGTGACTTCATCAAATGCTTTTAGGGGATGCCAATGTTGACACGAGTGGGCACAAAGAACAGGTAAGCCAAGTTCTGATTTTTGAAATTGAGTTATTTATGTTTTAAAATTTTGGGATAAATTTTTTGCATGGATTGCAATGATTTTTTAGAATTTTATTTGTGTTTGATACCATGAAAATTAAAGATAGAAATCTTAAATCTTATTTTTTTACTCTAAACTATAGAAAAGCTATATATTTATTGGTGTTAAATAAATAATTATTAGTCTTAAATAAAATTAAATTTATATACTTAATGGTAGTAGAAAAAAAAGCTACTGTGACAGACAAAATTAGAGAAAGTCGTCTTAGATTATTTGGTCACATTATACGTCGATCATCTAATGATCTGATTAGGAGAGTAGATGTTTTAGATTCAACTTATGTTAAGAAAGATAGAGGTAGACCTAGTAGGACTTGGGCTTATTGTATAAAAAATGATCTTAATATATTAAAACTAAATGAAAATATGACACTAAATAGGATGCAATGGAGAAAAAGGATTCATGTAGCTGACCCTACGTAGTGGGATTACGATTTTGTTGTTGTTGTTGTTGTAATGGTAGTAAAAAAGCAAGGCCATTAATAAATTGTTAAGGTAGACAATCATTCTGTGGATGATATAATCAAAGCACGTGAATTATAGCAGAAGACAATCATCCAACGATTAATAATCTCAATATTTTGCAACACATTGCTCATTTTTAATTAGTAGTATTATTGTTGAGTTACAAATTTAATACTCTTTTATAGGGCAATTTGCATTTTGGTCTTTTTAATTTTCCTTTGTAAACATTATAAGTTGGGAATTCTTAGAAAATTGAAATTTATTACAATTTAAGTTACTGAACAACAAAATTATTTCATGAAATTGAAAGACAGACATTCTAATTTAGCAAAATAACTTATTGTAAAGAGAATTATCTTTTACAAGATAGCATTATTATCATGTGAAATGGGAGAAATTGTCTTATAAAATAGACAATACGTACTCTCACAAAAAGCTAATATATAACATACTAAATTAATTTTTTTGTTGAATCTAAATTTGTCTAGTAGACCGTGCCCAAGAGATAGAGCGTTGAGATCGAGGAAATGAGATCGAGAGGGAGGGGGAGAGAGGGAGGGGGAGAGAGAAGAAGAGGAAGACTTCCCCATTGGGGCGAGAATCAGGGTGTTCTCGGGCTTGTGGAAGTATTTTATTCCATAAAGAATGCATGCTACAAATGTTGAGATCCAAGAAAAATATCGTGTAGCCCCTCTATTTATAGAAGATAAGAGGGGTAAAAAAATATAAAATTTGCATATTTTGCTTTGCTTTAAAAAGAAGAATAAAGGGCATTCTAGTCCTTCTTTGGTCGCTAGATAATCTTGAGATCCGTGCAAACTATTTTTTAGTATACCATATATCTAATAAACTGATCGTTGATTATATATTATTATAAATTCTCATAAATCAAACTCAATTTGAAAAAACTTTTTTATTGTATTATTTTACGTGCAAGAAAAAAAAAAGAAAATTCTTTTCCAAAGCTATCATTATTATTTTGGTAGGGTGAACGCTTTAGCCTGGTAGTTTAGGATTCTTCATCTTTTTTTCGACCATTGGGGATATAATACTCAAAACATTATTATTATTATTATTATTATTATTATTATTATTATTATTATTATTATTATTATTATTATTATTATTATTATTATTATTATTATTATTATTATTATTATTATTATTATTATTATTATTATTATTATTATTATTATTATTATTTGATGCATTTACACATATACCCCACAATTCTTTTATATTCACGTACTAAACTCCTAAATATTCATGTTCACATACATATCCTCAAATCTTTAACTCCACATCAAAAATATCACAATCACTTTTCTTTTAAAAGCTAAATACATTTTCATGCGTAAATTTATGATATCAAAATGTCTTAAATGTAATTATGTAAATATTGAACTTTGGCCTTTGGGTGCTGGATACGTAAATACATGAGAAATATGTGGCGTGTATGTAAATTTCAATTATTATTGATTCCATTATATTCTTCATTAATTGCCACTCATTTATGTGATCATTTTCCAATTAATATGGAGGTGTCGCTGGATCCTAATGATCTGAGTTGATGGGCGTCTAATTGTTCTGCCATTGAATCTCTCATTGATTGCGACTTCATTATTACTGGATCCGAAGCTTTTTCGTGTACGGCTTTATAATGTGTGAGATAGCAATAAATGAACATACGTTATAAAAAAATAATAATAATAAATATGCATGCAGTTTTACGTTCTGATAACCTGTACGATAAAAATATATAATTGTGTGTTAATGTATGTATTTAGGTCCAGTGGAGAACATAATAAAATATATTTATTTACTGTAATATAAGGGTGTAAATTATCCGAATATGAGTGTGTCCGGCCTTAGCTCATGTTCGGCTATTTATGTTTGACTCGTTTATATTTCGAACACAAGAGATTTGTTCATGTTTGGCTCATTTGTCATCAACTAAATGTTTCACTAGGGACGATCTCGTTGGGTCCCCTAGTGAGAATGTTCTCGAAGTCCGCTTTGCGAAGTGGTAAGCTCCCTCCCCCATGGGCAACTAGACCCACTCCACATGAGAAGGGAAAGAACATCAGCACACAAGAGGTGTTTGATCCTCTTGAAGTTCCTGTCAAGAGCCAAGGAACTAAAAATCCCTGTAGCAAAGTGGAATAGAACGTGCTCACGCTTCTTAAATGGTTGTCAGCATGGTCAAGCATCTACGATGCTCTTCTTCTATTCCCAGAGGTAAGAGAGATAGTGGTGAAAGCACTTCTATACTCTGAAGTCTTCCACGCTTGCTATACCGAGGAAATGATAAAGGAGGCGGATACACCACAAGTCGTGGCTGCTATAACCTTTTTTGAGGATGACTTACTATTATGCACTGCAGACTATAACCGTCCAGTGTATGTGACAACCATAATATATGAGACACCTTTAACTCATATACTCGTTGATCCTGACACATCCATTAACATCATTTGCGTGAGCACTCTCAAGTTGCCATCATTAGGCACTCGACATTATGTTCTGTCAGGATCATGTAGAATGGCTTCAATGAGAATGTGCAAAAG